ACAGCGACCACTGATAATTTCAGCTTAGCTTCTTTCTCTTTTGCTTGGTCAGAGGCTGGTTTTCCTTAGTTTTAGCTTCTCTGTTTACTTCAGGCAAACCTTCTTTTGTTTCTTGCTTATCCACTTCTGCCTGTTTTCCCTTTACTACTGTTTCCCTTTGCCTATACTCATTTTTTTTGAAAGTGTATCCTTGGGTTTGGGTTGTGGCTCAGTGGTGGAGCACTTGCCTAGCATGCATGAGGCACTGAGTTAGGTTCTTACCACCACATATATGTAAATAAAAGTCCATCAACAACTAAAAAAAATTAAAAACGTGTATCCTTTCCTGCTGCCCTTTTGGCTTCCTTTCCATTTTTCAGGGACATGTTCAACTGACAACCTTGCTGATCTCCTCTTGGGCTATCCCCTCCTCGCCCCTTGGCCTGAGTTGTCCTTCCTTTCGCACATCTTTGTGGTGGGGAGGATATGTGCCAGATGTCACTAGGCCACCATGTGCCGAGAGCCTTGGCAGAGCCAGGCATCTAGCAGATGGTGGTCCTCCAGCTCCTGGAGCTGAAACCTCTCCAGGATTCATTTAAAGTCAATCCTGTGCTAAATCTCTACTTACCAGAATCATCATCATTACATATTTTGCTTTCATCATTTTCAAGCATTTCAAACATGAAATTAGGTTTGATACACAGATGAATTAACATGCATACAAATTTCAGGTTTGAGGCAGGGGGTCTTGCTGTGGTTTCCTTTCACATGTCATCCAGTAGAATCCCAGGTGCATCCCTTCCTATTCCTTCCCTTTTGCTTTCAGAAATTCTTCACAGATTCTCTCTTTGGGGTATTCTAATCCCTTGTGGAAGGATTCTTAAGGGACTTACCAGATTCTGTGTTCTTGGAATCTGTGTAAATTTACCTTTTATTCCAAAGAACTTACAACTTTTGTTTTAATCATTTTATGATGCATAGATATTTTTCCATGTTTTATAAAAATGTATTAATTTTAAAATAATATATTAATTTTAAATATCTAATCCTATAAGAAATTGCTAAACTACTTTCCAAAATGATTGTATTATTTCATGATCCCACCAATAACGTATGAAAATCTAGCTGCTGCATATGGACCCAAGAAACATGGAATTGTCAGTCTTCTGAATTATAGTCTTTCTAAATTAATATTTTCTTGTGTTTTAGTCTGCATTATGAAATTGAGTATCTTTTTATGCACTCACTGGCTACTC